TTGTTTGTTTTTCTCCCATCATTGGACTCTGTCGTCTGCCCCTCTGGCCCCTATCCTCCACTTCTACCTGCTAGACGACCCAAACGGGGTCACACAGGAGGGGGGGGTTGGACCTCCTCCTGCGGTCCTTGCCTGAGATATTTTTATCGCGAGAAGGGTACAGCAATCCTTTCCCTCGCGACTTATGAAGTCGATCAAGTTTACTAACAACGAGCTTTGCAGTGCGTCGCTTCCAACGGTGGCCAGGATTCAATAAGCGAGAAAAAACTCACTCTGTCAGGACTCGAACCCATGACCTGGCCCTTAGCAGGCTGCGAGGCTACCCACTAGACCACCGGGGCGACCGGCTGCATATGTGCTTGTCTGAAAGCAACTTGACGACTTTTTCCGTGTATTTTCAGTGATATTTCTCAGGGAGAGTCATCTACATTCCACCCTCGTTACTCCTTCAGAATACCGTTTACGGCTTGGGGGCTTGTGTGACAAGGCTAGTAGGGCCAGGAAGAGTATATAGCCCACTCTAAACGCGCCCGCTGGTGCAGGCAGCAAGATTTACGCGTGCTTTGTGTGTGGCGCGCTCTCTGCTCTATCTCAATCTCTCGCATTAGGAATATCCTGTCTATCGGTGAAATTTCACGCAGTGGCATGCCCTGTGCCTGGTCTCTTGGCCCCAGGATTCAGTACGAAATGGAGGTACTCTATGTGGCAAAGGGCCTGTCAACTATTCTAAACCACGTCAAAAACACGTCAGCTATGAATCTTACCTGATTTCGGCAGAAATCTCTCCGAGGCACGTCTGCTGTTGAGGTCTTCGTCCGGATCACCTCTTTTCCTTTTCCTCGGCACCACGTTTTGAGGTAAAATCTCTCCACATCTCCGCATAAAGTCGGAGCAAGACTAGCCTGCGACGGCACCCTCCACCGAACCTCCACGGGAGGGACCTCCTCCTCCGGCTCGAGGCTTGATCGTTCAGCAAGCGTTGCGATTACCATCGTTGGCGACCTTGGAATTTTCTTCGGAGGTTCGCGAAGGACATCTAAGACGGAATCGTGTATACCCCCCGAACTTCCGCCGCCAAGGTGCCTGTGTCACATGTGGCGGAGGAGCGACGTGAAATATGGGCACTAGGGTTTGATATCGGAAACAAACACGTCACAGGGGGCACCGCGTTCCGTTGTGACCAAACCGAAATCGACCTAAACTTGGGGCAAGGTTGATATGGTTATTGCGGCATTAGTGAACTTTTGATTCCGTCCGATACAACTTGAAAAGTAGGCCCACCTGGCTTTCTGGGCAAAGTCGAACGCAGTTCGTCCATCGTCTGCCCTCATGTCCAGCCGAGCCCCAGCCCTCAGCAACAACCAGCAGCATTCCTTGCTTCCAGTTAACGCCGCACTCATCAGGGGCGTATATCCTAAGCTACTCGACGTTATGTTAGGATCAGCGCCCGCGGCAAGCAGCTCCGAAACGCAGGTCACGTATCCATCGTTACAGTCCGGCTCGGGGCGACGACGATGGGACGCAAAAGCCAAGCGGCCTCCCATGGATGAGCACCCTGCAGCTAAATGCAGCAGGCTCCAACGTAGGTGGTGGAGCCTTGACAACGTGTCCGGATTGCCTCCATCTTGCAAGAATTTCGACAGTCGAACAGAGTTGCCGTGCTCGGCCGCTTGAAGAGCTTCTTGCATGCCAACTGCCCCGCCGTTCATGGCTTGGTGGGTGAGGCCTCCCGCCTCGATGTCCCGGGCATCCATCGGAGCGTCCGTATCGCCTGGGTGTTCGTACAAGAGCGTCGCAGGGACCTTGTCCTCTTTGCGGATTAAATCAGCAAGGGAGACCAGTCTGGGATTTTCATCGTCTGCCGGCGATGCGTTGTTGCCATCGTTCGCCCTCCACCCGTACCGCCCCCCTGACCCACGTTGCTTGTTCGCGCCTCCGCCTCTCCATCGGGGACTATCGTAACTGGTGCTGCTGAATGGACGAGGACCTCCGCCGAATGCGCCACTGGCCTCGCTCTCGGAGCGACGGTGCGCCCGATTCCCAGTCTTCCGACCCGCTACTTCGGGTTCGCCCTGGTGGTTCAGACTCATGTAGGCGTCTCGTTCCCAAGCGTAGAGCGGGCTGCGGTACGTGCACAGCAGGTGGACAGCAGTAGTGGTGGAGACGCTCGGCCGCAGTTATTTCATGTACGACAGCAAAGCGTCAGGAATAAGTTTATTCGCTGCGCCAAATCATTTAGCATGTAGTCTATATATGTCGATGCCGGCATAACATGAATGTGCCATCCAAAAACTTTTGCAGGCAGCGAGTGAGTCTTTCAGAATGTTGAGTTTTTATTCCAGGCATCCCAAATAGAAGAAACACTTTACCTTGCAGTGCTACATAACGTGTGTTTGCAGCAGCAGCAGCACCAGTAATGTAGCGTATTGCTGGCAAACATAGACTTCAAGGAACACCTGGAGAGATGGTCTAGAGCAGCTAGCAGCGAGATACGCATTTTAATTAAATGGAGAAAACTGACACCTGGAGAGAACTGTTTCCACAGCAGCACTATGGTGACACTATTATCTCACCGTTTCCAATGTGTTTGGTGGACCCAGCACGCAGTGCGCGGTGCTTTTGGTAGCTGTGGCACTGGCTATGGCAGGCCTGCAAGCACGCAAGCGCGCAGAGCGGCTATGCGGGGAGTTCAGTGAGCCTGGATCGACTTTTCAGAACGGGTAGAGAGATGGGCCGAAGCGTTCGCATTTTTACCGTGCGTCATCTCCGTCGTCCGGAACAGACATCGCATAATTGTTACGGTGGAGAGGAAGCTTGTAGGTAGTCCACTCTCATGCCGAGACCTCACGATCCAAGCGGCGATAACGATGATGGGAGTAATAGTCATGGCGCATCCAAATCTAATCCCTCAAGCCCAACGAGCAGTAGTAACATCAGCAGCAATAACCGATCTCATGCCGACAGCGGATCTTTCTCCTCGTCGTCCGCCAGCAACGACTACAGCAGTAGCACCAGTAGCAGTCCCAGAAATCTCGTGGCGGGATACGATACAGGAGGAACCAGCGCCAACACGTCCAGTTCGAGGCATAGCAGCCGAAATACGACGAGTGGGTCGGATAGCTCATCTTCGACGTCGAGCAGCGATGATCGAGGAAACACAAGGAATCGAATGAAAAATCTGTTAAAAAAACAGTCCGACGAGGTTGTCGAGATCGAAGAGCTCGGAGAGCTGAACGAAAGGCGAGTGCAGCTTGGCGAATGCGGCTTTGGTGTTGACCATAGTGCGTGCGTAGCACTGCATGTGCTTTGGTAGGAGGGGTTGGTTCGAGCCCCCAGGGTTAATTATGCGAGGGGTTCTGTACATGGAATTCTGGTAGACTGCATCGAATCCCCCCCAGAAAAAATTGTCAACGGGGGGTGGTTGTTTTCAGCAGAAAAGGAGAGGACAAAGGACGTTGAAGGTGTACGTCCTCAACCCTCGCAGCTGTCTATTCTCGCACATTGCAATCTTTGGAACTGCAGAGTGGATGCTAAGCTTCTGGAGGAAGTACAGGAATATGACGCAGTGCCATCCGAGGCAGCATCGTATGGACAAACCACTTTTTGGGACGAACGGTACGCAGGGGACGAGGAGGTGAGATCTGTTTGCAGTCGACTGCGGTCGAGCACATTGAACAAAAGTAAACGCACGTTTCCAAAGAAAGGCCACTGCTGACTACTCGTACAAGCAAGTACCACCTGGAGATCCAAAGTGTTGTGTTTGACAGAAGCGATGCCATTTCTGTCTGGATCTTTCCCATATCCCATCTCCGAATCGATTTTTTTTGCTTCTTCTGTGGTTGTATTTATTTGATGACCGACTACGAAGCACTTTTCGGGTGCATACTTCGGGGCGTGCCAGCCGAAACCATACATATCTCGAACGGGTGGTCTTTCTGTGTGTGTGTGTGTGTTTTTTTTTTCCAAATAAAAATTCCTGAACATCCAGGACATTGAAGATTTATCGCAGGACAGCATATATTTTCGATCCTGCAGCATGTTTCATACCCACACCATCAGAAAAACAAAATAATGGATCTCAGTTGGCCCGGTACCTTACGTGCTGGAACTGCTGTTCCACAGCACTGTTCCACAGCAATACAGCACGTGTCATCACTAAAGGACGCGCTACGTTCCCCCAACGCTCGGTTCTTACTTGTTTTGTGCGGTTACCCGACATCATTTGGGTATGAGCTTGGGGTGAGGTTCAAGTTTTGATATGGAGGCACCTACCTTAGCAGCGAGCGTCATCTTATTATTCAACCCAGCGGCGAGGCAGGTGAACTACACTTGCATGAAGACATCATCACGCCTCTCCTCTCCTCTCTACTACACATTTAATTTCCCCTTGCGACTGCGCACACATCATACGCTGGGTGTAGGTGGTAGAGTGGTACCACCCGTGGGGAAACCTGGCTCCAACCCTGACTCAGTACATGGACGAACAAGACGAGGTGCTGGTATGCGGTTGTGGGAACTCTGAAATGAGCGTCGACATGTACGATGACGGTGAGTGCACAGCTTCACTCAAACACATTGTTGTGTTTCCGACCTGACCACACGATTTCGTTTCGCTGCTGCCTTTCCGATCGGGTAGCCAGGTGTCAAGCGCGAAGCTTACTGGTGTAAGCTTAAGCTGAAGTGACTCCACCACGTACAGGTGCTTGCGGGTTCGGTATCAGCCCCGTGGCGGTATAATAGGGCATCGAACTTTCCGTGGGGAAACCTGACCAAATACTCTTACCACCTCTCTTCTTGTCCCCTCCAAGGGTTCGAGAACATCGTGAACGCGGACATTTCCAAGGTGGCGATTCACCAGATGACCGAGACCTACAAGGCCTACCCCATGGAGTGTGAGTGCAACCATTCACAGACCAACTGTCGCCTCCAACAGAGCGAGTGTGCTCGTGGGAGAGCTAGCGGAAACTCCGTTTCCTAGGAACTATAGCCACGCTCATCATACGGACATCTAGCAGCTGGTGTTGTTGGCCAGGCCTGGAAATAATCAAGGCCTCCGTTGGTCTCGGATGTAAAGCGCCTGTTACATAAAGAGTGATCGAGAGGCAGTTGGGGGTCGGGAAATAACATTGCTTTACGCTCATAAAGCGTGCAATTTGTCGACCGTACAGACATCAACCTTAAGTCACTTGCGCGCATCCTGAGCTGGGGCGAAGTGGACACTCCTTGTTCTGCTAAACACCATGCGAACTGGTGGGTACGTCGTTTGCAGCACCCTACCGTGAGTGATATGTGCGACATCTTTCCTCTTCCCCACTACCCACCAATCCGCGTCTCTTTTCGTTCTTCCCCGAAAAGTTGACGGGGTGCTGTAGCAGCCTCGATATCATCTTGCAGTGCTTGAGCTTGAGGTGGTCATGTTGGTGGTCATGTTTCATATTTTCAATACGTCGTTAGTGAATGAAACGGGTTTGCCCGCCATCTTGGCAGAACGTAGCTCGCCGTTTTCGCAGCGAGTCTGCTGACTACGTTAGAGTTGTTTGTACAGCGCACGATGGTCGTATTCCCAAATATGTCTTCAGAGCGACAGCCGCATCACGCACTGTGTGTGTCAACACCAAATGAGGCAATTACACCGTCACGTGTGTGACCCTCGAAGCTTGGCAACCGTCAGGGAATCTTGCCATCCGACGCTGCCGTTATGTCCATAAGAAAATCGCTGCGAATACCGTAGTCACCCTGTTGTCCGGTTCGGGGAATGCAGCTCACCTGTTGGACTCACTCTCTCAACACCTGGCGGGGATTCGAGCTTGGTGGCACAACCAGCACTGTCCGTAAAAACATGACATGCGCCGTGTTGGCTTCGTTCGCACAGCCGTAGTTTCTCACAGCCTACAGTCTTCGGCCTTGTGCATGACTGACTATGATCCGCTCATCTCCTTGATACATTTGTTGTCGACGACTATGACCGTCTCTGGACGCAGGGAAATCGATCGACCTCACACGCGAAGAGTTCCCAGAAGAGAAATTCGACGTCGCCCTCGACAAAGCCTGTCTCGATTCCATCGCCTGCAACCTTCGGGGAGTGGTGAACGTAGAAAACTATCTTCAACAGATGGACAGGTGTGTCCAGCAGGGTGGTCCTGCGATAAATTTGTTGGAAAGTGGAGCGCGTTGTCGTGTATGCCCCAGCTGGTTCGTCGCCGCTACCTACTATCATTGTGGTCCGAAGGTGCACTGGATATGGATGAATGTGCTTCGCCTTCTGTTTGTGTAAATAATGTCTCTCGTTAGCACTCGGATGATTGCGATTGATTTTTCTTGTTCAGTGGGTCGGTGGTCAGACAGAGTAGGTTTAGGACGAAGCGCTTTATGCAGGGAGTTTGAAACGTTTTAAACAGCCTTTGCGTGCGTGTAGGGCATGCCTAGAGTATGCATTCGGAGGTGGTACATCCGTTGCCTCACCTCGCTCTCTCGCTCAACCAACTGCTCTGTCATCTTATCTTGCCACTGACTAGGTTGCTCCAGCCAGAGGGGGCTTTCATCTGTGTGTCCTTCGCGCCCCCAGAAGAGCGCCTGGAACTGTTGGAATACTGGGATATAGATCAGCCGGCGAAGTGCCTTGCGTGGGACGTGCACGTCGATATGATAGGCGAGTCGAGCCACTTAAGTTTCATCCAGCTATTCTTGCTCGCTGGTGTTGGTGCACGACTGAGGGAAGCAACTAGCCCTTTTGTGTGTTTTTTTTGTGGACCTTTTACGCGGATGACCAACCTTTGTGTTGTATCAAATCTGTACAGTGCCGGGAAAAGAGTATTGCAACTAGCCCAGGGAATTTTCAAGGGATTGGCACCGCTGTGCGGCATTGGTCAACAATACCCCTCCTTTTCAGCACCCAACACGATACATGAGCTCTCACCCATCTTAGCTTCGTGAATTTCGATTGAAAAGTCGCTGAAACACATGTATGTTGGTGTTGTGAATTTCGGCGTGTAATGTTTATCTTCAACACGCAAACGATTTGGTAGAGCGTCGCTCTGGATGTATGCGGCCCACGACAATACCAGGGCCATGACTTGTTCGTGCAACCATGCTCGAAATTGTTCCCCCGCCGCTATGGGAATCTGTAGTGAGCCTTGCTTACCGGTTTTCAAGATAGGTAGCCACGTATTCACTAATAAATGCCACCAACCCGCCGCATCTTAACTTTCACGGTGCACCGTGCATGCCCTTGCCTACTCTGTACCTCCACAGCGAAGCCAGAAGCCAAACAGCGGCGGGGGGCTGAGAACGACAGCGACGTCTACTACATCTACGTGTGCATCAAAGACCCCAGCAAGGTGATCGTACTGCAGTTTGGCAGAACGCCGGTGTAGATACGTACATGTAGCAACCCCGTTCGTGATTTACCAGGTAGCTGTGGCAAGTAGTGAAGGCGGCCGGTCGATGGTACCGATCAGCGTAGACAGGCATGATGTTCGATGTTATGGACGAGCTTGACGAGTGTGTTTTCTTTGGAGGTAATGACACGGACGGTTGGACGAGCAGCTGTTCGGGTGGCCATCTTGTTAAACATATGGCGTGAAGGAAAGCGCCAAGAAAACTGTTCCCGCGCTCTCTGTGCAACACAAGCAGTAGTGCGAATGGAGGGGGGTTAGGTTGTTTTTGTTCGCATGGTTCTATCTGTCTGTCTGTCTGTGTGGGGTGCCCCTTTGCCGTTCTGTGTCTGTGTGCGTCGACGTGCTCCATGCCTCTTGTGAAGAGTTTTCCGAGTTTTTTTCTGGTGGCAGGAAATAAATATACAATATCCATCCATCAACTAACTACCGTAGCATCTACGAAGAACGTACCTACATACATCAACCGTGTTGCGTGCGAGGCTCGGCGGTTGACAAAATACAGAAAGAACAAACCTTGCCGAAAATCAACTCAAGGAGGAACAGATGATGCACGATTACATGGCCGGGCAGGTCATGATGCATGTGTTGAATATATTTATTTGTGGGTGCGGAAAAGTCATGGGTATTTTGGTACTACGCATTTTATATCAGTCAGGATTGAATCGGAGCCTGGTGAACTTCTCATCCCCACGAAGGGGGAGGAGCAAGTATACATATAACCACAGGTAGAAGAGAAGTAAGGTAGTCCTGTTCGCATATTATGGCGACAGCACAGCAGCAGCGCGTCGTCAATGATCGATAGTTAACCCTTTGTAGATTGGTCGTGATTGTATATTGAGCGCTCTCGCAACTTTTACCGAGCGAGGAAGAAGATGATGGTACCACTTCTGATTCATGTCGAGAGTTCCGCCCCTGATTCATTCATCGTGGACATGACATGTCCACGACGACACAAAAACCACCATCATCATATGTTGATGCCTGCCTCATATTATTTCGTCTCGCACACACAACCACCATGAATTATCAATCGTGATAGCAACTTTTGAGCAGCAGCAGCAGTAAATTATCTCCCCCCCCCCCTGTTTTTTGCTTGTGGGTGGGTGTGTGCGACATCCTCTCTGTCTGTCTGTCTAGTGTGTTTTTTACATCATCGTCATCAATGCCTTTTCGATGACTCCGCATCACCATCTTGTTGTTCTCCAGCCTAGCATGGGCTGTGGGTTGTGTTAGTTATCTCCACAGAATGACACGGGAATGAATATTCAATATTTGGAAGAGCAGAGTCGCGTCCCAACCAAACAACGTACGTACTGTTCGTTATGAGTCTCACACTCGTGTTAGACTATTTTAGGATTTTCCAAAAATGAAGAGTGAGAGAAACCTAGCAAGTTATGGTTCGTCCAAAGAAAGCGAATTGATTAAAGCGGCGTTTTATTGGGAATCGAGACACTGCAAGCAAGCGTTGATCGCGAACTAACAAGGTACACTCAGTGAGATTCAGCCCCAGGAAACACACGATGCCTGAGTTAGGCACATAGGCACACATCCTTGGGCCTCCGGGTGTGTGTGTGTACAGCAGTGTGTATAGATACATGTGTACCGATACACTAGAGACAAAAATCGAATTTCGACATCGTGACCAGTTCATGATATGGTGTCGAAGTTACGTCCGTTTCTTCCGGTTCAATACCATCGTACACTGTGCTACGAACTCACAGCCCCACAGACGGCAACGCCCACCTGCAACGAAGCGAGACACCGCCAACTTCACACACGAACAGCGGTATCGGAGCATGTAGGACGGCCGACGGGTTTCCGTCCCTATCGTTGAATTGTACTTCAACCAACCAACCAGGCTCCGCTCTCCTGTCGGTACTTTTCCCGCCGCAAGGAATGGGGTCCGCATCAAATGCGCAACCTTAAAGAATTTCTGGAAATTGTTCTCTTAAGTTGTTTTCTGCAGTTACCAAAAGATAAGTACTACTGTGCGTTACCCGGCAGAAAACCGCGAGCACGGTTTTAGTGAGAGATAAAACCGGGCTAAGTGACATTTTTGTAGGTTTGCACGACGGGGACGGGGGTGGGAGGAAGATGAGATGGTTGAAAAAAGCCGCAACCAAACAGAAAAACAAATTCCAACAGGTCAGCCACTCACCCAGCTCTCCAGGCCCGGGCGTTTAATGCACGAGGTTGGCGTTACCATCCGTCACCCACTGGTGGCCTTCACTTATGGGGGGGGGTTGGGCGGTAAGCGAGGAACGAATGATGAGTGATTCATAACTGGGCTGGCACAACACCCGAAAAGGGGGGGTGAAGGATGCTTGGAGGGAAAGCTGGAGGTCTTCGGCCTCTAGCCGCCGCAACCACTCGCCCTTTGCATGCGACAAGGCGAGGCGAGGTGAGCGATGCAGTGGTGGACTATAACCTATCATCCGGCAAGAAGGGGGAGGGAGTGGGTAGCACCCGGTGCAATTTGCGCGGAATGCGTGGGTGCACAACGCCAACGAAGGTAACGGGTAGCGGAGGGGCACCGCTCTCGTGCGCCTGAGCGATCGATTACTTGGCGTCAACACCCGCTTTTAAGCTTCTGTGAAACCAAGCACGAGTCTCTCTTCTAGCCGTTACACACAAAAGCTGGGTTTCCCTGGTCTTGACACTCTCACCCGAAACATACGTGTGAAGTCGTCGCTGATTTCCCCCCCGCGTGGTGCAAGCACTAAGCTCGTGTCCCTCATTTCCGGGTCTAAACACCCACCCATTTTCCGTGAAAGGCGGATGTCGCCCGTCTATGATAACGGAGGCATTCAAGATAACCCGCGAAGAATTATGTTTCGGCCATCATCAACTGTTGTTGGATCCAAGCTAATAGATGAGCTGATCAGGAAAGAAGCGTGTACACGATGCCGTCGGGACAGCTTAGAGTGTTTTTGTTCATTAGCTTGATGTCGCCATCAAACACAGGCGGTATTGCCTGTGGATGTACATATGTCTACTTACGAAGCGCATTCATTTTCTCGGTGAATCCAGAGCACGAACGGTTTCGTCTCTCCAAAAATTACCACCCCGTCGTTGTGTTTCCTTATCTCTCTCTTTCCCGAGTTTGTGTGTGCGTGTGCACGCACTCTGGATTTCCCAACGGCGCTCCAAGAGCGGGCCATTATTATTTCCCGTGCTTGACTGAATGGTCCCGAAAGCGTGTGACGTCGTGCGTAATATCTAGCCTCCGCTTTCCCTATGCGTCATTGGCTGACCGTCACTTGCCGAACAGTATCGACCCCCCACACACAGATGACATACACAGCAGTAAACCCCTCGCTATTTGACACCGCTGCCGCCCGGATAAGTCAAACACCCACGCACTTACGCATGAGTTCATTCTTTTGACTCTTTTGTACGGATACGTCATACGTCATCCTCGCACATTGCACCTACACCTCTATGGTACAGTAGTTTTCAAAGCCCAACACAAGATCATTAGTCTAATGATTGTAGGCGAGGTGTTGACATAATATCCCGAGTTACATGCACGTCCAAGCTTTTCAGGTGTACCACCAACACGGCCGCGGCGGTTCACAAGGCGACACACGCTGGCCGCCCCTCGTTGCCCCCCCCCCCACCTCTGTCTGGCCTTCGCACGAATATTCAGCAGAACAAGTTGTCAGACATTTTTAGCTCATCCATGGTCGACAACGCTTTCGCGAGCTACCCAGCTTCCATGGTTGTTCCTCCAACTCTGGACTGCCCAGCATTGAATTGACAAACCACGCATCGGTTCGCACACCCCCCGTAATATATCCCCTGTTGATTAGTTTCGGCTCTTTTCCTCGGCCGTATGCGTGATGTGCAAATCATGTGCTGTTTGTGCCTGGAAGTAGCCAGATGTTCGGCAGCGAAAACGTCGATACCAGATGCCTGCGTACGTATGTGCACGATAATATCGATGTCACGTACATCGCATTCATTCATTATCCGCCAAGAGCCGACGGGGTGCCTACAAAAAGAATGCCTGGAATTTCCCTGAAAGAACCTTGAAAACACTTGTGTGCAAGTCTTGAGGGCGCGCCCTTTTCCGTACCTCAGAGTACTTGGCTTGTATTGCTCATAGCCAGCCGGACATCAAAGAGGCAGCAACGGTAAAAACTTCTTGTGGCAGGTCTGTTGATTAGTACGCAACAACAACCACACAAGACAATGCTTCGACGAACTAAAGAATGTGCAGGAGCGGGAAGAATACTATGCAGACAGCAGTAGATGCCTCTGTCATGCGCATATTGAGCCCGACTTCAACATTGAGCCATACGCGGTATCTATAGAGCTCGTGCTCTCTCTCTCTCATGCGAAGCGTGTGTATTTATTTGTATGTCGGGCGCCGGACTCTCTTGTTTCGCTCCATGGAAAATGGCTGGGGCAAAATATGTTATTTTCGCTGTTATCGTCTCTGGGTGTTTGCAAAACGGGCAATGGGAAAAACACGCAAATAGCATTGCAAATCCACAATAATACACGTGTGTGTTCGTGCCAACCCAAGCACCTAACATCGCAGCACAGCAATACATGGAGTCCTTCAACACTTTCATCAGTTATAAAAGTGCACACGGAACGCGTAAGGGTGTGCCCTCGTTAGTTTGTTTTGTGTCGATCTTCCCGGGGAAAAGCAGGATCTTCATGGGGCGTGGAGCGGGCGTGGAGGAAAATTCCAGAAACGTTGCAAGAAAGTCTTTTTATCATTTTGCGAATAGTACGACACTCTCAGCGTGGACGCCATCCTTCAGGGGCAAGAATGGGGGCGCTGTGAATCTGATGCATGCAATGATGAACGCCCCTTCTACGGCCCCCGAAGACCACCCGTTAGGATTCGTAAACGTCTCGCAAGTTGACTTAAACAGGAGAAACAATATTCGCTTAGCAAAGAGTGCACAGCAGTTTCCTTAAACGGGGCTCAACGATGACGTACTTCGGCTGTTCTATTGGACCACGCGTTGCACACAACCGGGCAAAATATACTTTCAAAAGAACACCCGCCGCATTTTTCTCAGTGGTTGATCACGTTCTTCAGAAAATATATTTGCCGCCAAAGAGGTGCCACCGGGCCCCACCAGCCGGTTGCCCTTGTCCCTATTTAGCCAAACACAGCCCGGGGTGGTGTATGGCACGACATGGAGGTGGAGGGGGGGG